GGGGGGGGGGGTAACTTACATTTTTTGACCCCCCTAGGGGGGTACCCTAAAATGTAACTTACTTTTTTGAGGTCCCCCCTCCCGGAAGTAGCTCAAGGGGGTAGGGATGATATATGTTTTCTCCGTTGGTCGAGGTCTTGCAATGTAAAACCGTCCACCTGTGCAGGACGACGGTCTTACCAGCATGGAAAATGCATGGTTCGCCATTTGGGGCTGCTGCATTTCTGCCGGGACAGTGACCATTCATGCCCCTCCGCGAACTCTATAAGGAACATGGCAAAAAGCTTTCTTATCTTTACTGTGAAACCTGAAATCACCATCCAAGTACATCCAAGAATCTATGTTCAACCTGCAAAACATGCATTCTTTTCAAGATGCATTGATCAAACGGCCGAACGAGTACGTACGACCGGCCAGACGACCGGCCAACTGCCGAATCTGTTGAGACGGACTCCGGAGACGTTTGCAGCTTCTCCAATATTTCCTGGGGTAGGTAATAGACATCCCAAACTGTGAACATCTACAGTACATGTGGGGGAGAACTTACAAACAAAGCCAAAACATTATGACACAGTGTGTAACATGGTGGATCAATCAACACAAAAAGAACTGTATGAAGAACTCAAGCAGGCCTATGAACCCTAAGAAAAGTGAGTCCGCCAACATTTGAGCAACGGCCTGGTTAGCCGTTTGATGCTGTTTTGGGTCCAGGTTTTGACCAGTAGACAAAGGACATACAGTGACATACATGGGTTTTTGAGTAGGACATCCACCGAGCAATGGGCCTGGATGATTTTTATACTGTTTAGAGGTTTGTTAACTCTTAGACTCATCCGCATGGTAAAGGATGTTGTTGAACAGGATCTTTTGGAATTAGTCACCGCCCTACGTGGTCCTAATTACGTCCTCCGCAAACATCGAGGGGCACAAACCTCAGGGGACAGGAGCTTCAACGTCCGAAGGACACCTGGGGAGGCCCCCCATCGACGAAGGTTCTGGGCACGACCAACCTGAAACCTCGCACTCCCAGTCTGGTGTCCCTTCGCCGTTGACTCAAGAGAGTGGAACATGAGTAGGTTGAAGAAGCACAGCACCCAGCCAATCACCACACTTGCAGCACAACAGTAGGTACAATTGAGCATGAGTACTGGGATCGCAAACCCATGTTCACCCACTCGCCAAAGCCGCATTGCAAAAGGCCGCAGAAGGGTTCTATCTCTATTTTTGGAGCTTTCCATACCTTTACCTATCAAAAAGCACCAGATGGATCCAGATGGTGCTGTTTCTGAACTTGACTTGGTTCCTCTCAAGACGGGGGTCATGTCGGATTCGATGCCCAGCGGCTGCTGTCCCCACCATCCTTGCTGTCTCCCCAGGTTACCACAGAACCTCGGCAAGCCGCCCGACTCGGTCCCGGTGAGGCCGACACGACCGATAGGACTGGGCCATTCACCTATACAAATTGGAGGGTCAAGATAGGCATATATATATATATATCATGTGATCCTTTGTGTATATTCCAAAGCTCCTATAAACTATACTATAAAACCAGGAGATTCACCAATATATGCCTTTCAAAAATACTCCTATGGATCCACTGCCACCCTCTGAGGTATGGTGATGTGTGGAGACACTCTTACCTTTGCTTGCAGGAGGGTCTAGTGGCACCGAACCTGAGGTACGGTGGCAGTGGATCCTATAGGGTCCAATAGACCCCCAGGACCTACCTGGCCAGTCATGACTCGTCGATGCTTCCCGGAACCGTTCAGACCAGCGACCGTCCTCCAAGAGCGCCGCGAAGGCCCAGCCGGTGGACTGAATGTGCTTCACCTTCTTCAAGCGTCTCTGCACCCGACCTCCGTACCGGTGCGACGCGACGACCGACGACGTGACCGACCGGACGGACGATGCCCAAGCAACGCGAACGAGACGAAGAGGGACGTGACGAAGAGGGAAAGCAGCGAGTGCCGTGGGTCCATGGGTCCTAGAGAGATCCATTTTGGTCACGCTGCTTCTACTGTCTGTTTGGCCGAAGGTGGTTCTTTTGTGAGAAGTGTCAGCCCTTGAAACGCATGTCTGATCCAAGCTAGGCTCATGGATGTAGGAGGAACCATGGGATGGCAAAAGCTCTGAGCAAGCCACCATCTCCGGCATTTGTGTTCAGAATCTGCATGAAGTCCAAGAAAGCCCCAACAACCACGGAAACAAATAGGGGTCAGGACAAGGCCATCTTCCTCGATCTCGTGTGCTGCAGGCATCCACACACCTCACCCAACAAGTTTGCTTCAATTTCTGCCAAGGGTCCATGTTGACCTGATGTTCATCTACCTCTGCCCGCACCCCTTATAGCTGCTATTTTCCAGCAAAACCCCCTTCCAAGCATCCGAAAGTCAGATCTACAGTACCAGCTGGACGTGCCCAGCTCCGCTTCACGATCGGTTTGGCCAAATAAATGAGAGAAGATCTCCAAGCCACTGCTATCGCCACCGAAGGAGGAATCACCCCAGGTGACCTTGGAAGACTTGCGAAGCTTGACAGAACAGGGTGAAGCAAATAGAAACACACATCTTCCCCAGCAAGGGAATTCAACCACAGGGAAATTACAGTGGTTTCAGAGTAGCTGGCACAATCCACTAAAAGCCGGGAGACCACACTGCCATCCGCGAGGAGCGCCGCAAAGGCGCTGTGCGCGGATTGGATCTGCTGGACGTTCTTCAGCTTCCCTGCCGCGGCGCGGAAGAGTGAACTACCCGCTGGCCGGAAGAAGAAACCATAGTTCGAGCCAGTGAGGTGCATTAGCTGAACTACTCGAGCAGCTCACAAACACGTGTTTAACAAAACTCAAAGGTGCATTCGGGCTATGAGTTTTGTTTTAAAAAAACGTGTTAGTGCATGCTATAGCTGCTGAAGTTGAAGTATCGTCCCTTTCTTGCTCGAAATTCAGCTGTTCATCAACAAAAACACAAACAATTAGATCACCCAAGTTACTTTAAGAACACAGACAAATAAATAATTTGTACTATAATACTTAAAATATAGTATAATATAATATAACATATAAGTATAATCGTCTCATATGATATAGATAGATTGATATAATGATATAATAGAATAATCATGTATAATCCCAAATGCTCATGGACCCTCATATGGAGGAGTCGGACCCGAATCCTCTGGAGGGCTTCGGGTCGAAGCAATCCCGAGCTGAGGACATAGAGACTCTCCTACCCCCTACTATCTACTGTGGGTTCTGGTCAACACCGTTGTGCGTCCGCCCGACCTGCCACCTCTTCGGCATCACCGCCGCTGTCGGGGTTGCCCCAAACCTTCACCTTGGGAGCTGTGTTTCAGCGCTGAAGAAAGGTTCAGAACATATTTCCCCACAGAGGAGAAGGTCATATGTGGAAGATTTTTTTCCAACTGTATACATGGTCAGAGTAGAACAGGCTTCGCGAACTAAGATGACTAAGATTCATCAATATGATTCGGATTGATTCGGGTGAATCTAGAAAAACCGCTTCACCCAAGCTAAATGTGAGGCTTGGTCTTCTTCGACTGGCAAACAGAAACGCACTTTGGCCCGTTTTGGCCGTGCCGGAGGTCCCAGGTTTCCGACAGATACGCAGGTTGGGCACTAGGTCAGATGCCATCCGAACCTCCCAGAGTCCCAGAGTCATAACAAATGCAGAACATTTGTATGGTCTTTGGATGGTATTTGGATTTTATATGGATCATGTTAAACTGTTAAACACCTTTGAAGGTCTGGGTATTTGGCAAAGATGCTTGGATTTGGATCAAGTACAAATCTTACTTCTATACCAAGCATTCCAAAAGCGAGCACCTCCAAGAGAAAAAGGGTGCTCCTGGCAGCTCTTCCGGGTCACCTCCTTGCGACGGGTCACCGTGCCATCTCCCAAGATTGCTGCGAAGGCCTCATGCGCCGACCTCGACCGTTGCTGTTGGCGCGACCCGTCGGGGTCGACTTCGGAGTGGAAAAGACGCCGAGGAAGCTGATCTGTCTCTGAGTGTCTCGGAGAGATGGGTTTCAAACCCTCCGGACTGGCATCATGGACGAAGTCTTGGGAGATGGATCGTGAAAAGCCTGGGACTGGTCGTCCACGATGTAGAGAGTGAGTTTGAGCCGACACCAGGTAGGGAAAAAAACCGGCTGGTGTCGTGCCATGATCCACAGCCAGTTGAAGAAGCGAAGGGAAGGACCATTCAGATCCATTCGGGCTTGGAACAGATCACCCAAGACTTTTCGGAAGCAAAAGAGTGGGCAAACCACTGAGTTTCTGGCGAAAGCACCCTGGGCACAAAGCAAAGACTCTAAAATCCGACGGTTTGAACTGCGGTCACTAAGTATTGAGATGGTTGGTACAGGCATTTCTCAAAATATAACAATTGTAAAATGGGCATAGAGTCTGGGCGAATCCTTGGAACCTGGAAAAAAAACACACACATGACAAAAGCACATATGAATATTCCCACACACGAGACTTGCGAACCATCCAAGCGGGCCTCGCCCTCAGCATCCCGTTTGTAGTGAAATTGATTACCGTGTAGATATATGAGAGATTTTGGGGTGAATTCCTTGTAAAAGCATGGTGTCCAAGCGACTGAATCTCTTGAACTTCCACCAGCTCCTCGTTGTTCTCGCCGCCACAATCTGGATCACCCCAAAGCGTGACGGGAGAGGGCCCCGAGCACCTGGAGATGACCCGTTGAAGTCCCCAAGGGTTGGAAAGGGAGCACAGTTGAATCAATCACTTCTCTAGACTTTGGACATACGCGTATAACTAATGAATTCATCATAAACAAGATATCCTAAGAATTTCTATCATGTTACTTCTGTTTGGCGGTGGCTGGTAGAACCACCAAGGGTCCCAGCCAAGGTTCTGCCAAAAAATATCAGTCGTCCCTGCTTCGAAGTGGCCTGCTCACATGTTCTCTGGGAAGCAGGAAGAGACATGTCGAGGCGAGGGATGGCGGCACCAGTCGAGGAACCATCTCGAGGCAAGCTACTTGTGGAATGTACCACAGAAGAGCTGCCTTTAAGGCTTCCAAATCCATACCATCTACGAAAGGACGTATTTAATCCTATTTACCTACCATTTAATCCTATGAGTCCAGGTCCTTGACATAACAAGGTGCTTCTGAATTTCTTTGGAGAAACACCTATTATCATCTCATCTATATATTTGTTTCTGCTTCCTTGGCTTTCCAGGTGGATGGACTTCGAGCCAACCCCACGGCCCCCACCGGCCCCAAGAAAAACCGTGACAGCGGCCCAGGCACCACTTGGCGAAGGCGCTGCAGGTCGCCTAGAACCGAACGCTCTCAAAGGAACTCAGGTAGAAAAACGGGTACAAATCCTGCAAATCATGGACAGAATGGAGCAATCCCCCATGTCTTGCTGTATACCCAAAAAACAATATGATATACCTGGACCAAAGGGAGCTGACGATCCACAATCATCAGTTTTCCCCAATGGTTAGGAGTGAGTGAGCCGGGTCTATTGAGCCATTTTTGGGGGGGTAACATCTTTAGGAAGACTCAAGTAGCTCGACCGGCAATGTAACGAAATCGCATGGTGTGACGGATGCCCATCTCCTCACCTTGCAACAAACGAGTCGAACGAACAGTGGCTGAACGTCTCCGAGCCTTCACTCAGCAGGAACTGAGATCCGAGACCAACCAAACCAACCAAGCCAAACCAATCCAAGCCAAACCAACCAACCCAAACCAACCCAAACCAACACTTCCATGTTGGCAGATTGCCTGAGCTCATCAATTTTCGCTCCACCAGCGATTCACCACATCATACCACATCAACCATTACGTTGAAAGACATGCAAAGCTCTCCTCGCTTTCATCTGACTGGCGAGGCCATCCAGGTGGATCTTTGACCACTCAAATTGGATAGGTCCTTTGGATACCAAGAGAGGTTAAGTGACCTGGTTCTGTCTTTATAATGCATCCAAATGTCCATCTGGTTCTGGTGCCTTTATAATCACAATATCCAAATCTCCACTTTGGCGCTGCCCTGGGCTGATACATGTGCTCATGTGCACTGATTTGCACTGACACCCATCTTCGATCTTCCATGAGAATCTCTTCCAAAAAGAAACATCTCACAACCCCCCACTCCACTCCCAACAGAGGTTGAAGAACCCTAGTTCGACTATCCCAGTTGAGTACCCCAGCTTACGGGTCCTATAAGCCGGTCACTGGATACCTCTCTTGCTCCTTCCTACTTCGGTCATGACGCCTGGATCTTGGCGGGCTGCGCCACCGCCGTGAGGGTGTCGCCCGACTGCAGCCCGCTCTGGCACAGGCTCAACGCGGGGTCCAGAAAGCGGCCATCCGGCGAGATGAGTCCTGAAGCGGCGCTGGGGCAGTCCCGTTTGGACGGTCCGCACAGCACGGAAAGCCCGGAAGCATCCGGCAAACACTGTTCAGGCGCGGTGAATTATTTTTTGGTTGTTGGCTTTTTTCGACCGGAATCCGGTAAAAAAAGGAGATCAACGAACGATCGAGAGGACGGCTGTGATATTGGGTGCTGCTACAGATATATAGGGAGACCTTTGAGGCAACGACCTGCTGGGTTCGGTTCGGAAAATGGATCAGTCAGTCCGTGGGGCGAGAAAGGAGGTCTCCACTGGGATCTCCCTGATTCTTCTACACCGCCCCGGAGGTCCAATGGGGCAGATTGGACACTTTGGTTGCGAAGACGCAAAAAATGAGTGGTGGATGCTGACAGATAGATGCCCTATACTTGTTGGATCTACCTAGCAGCTGATTGACACCTGTTTCAGAGCCAAAACAAGGTCTTTTCCTATATTAAAACAAAGGTGAGTCATGTCTGGGTTCCAGGTTCTGGGTACATACCTATCAACTGTATTCAACTATGACATGACAGGGGTACCTGTCATCAGTCTGTGAGCCGGGCATGCGCGGACTTCCGCTCCGCTGCCTTCGTTTTCCACAGCTCATAAAGCCACCCCGAAACCCACCGCGTGCCGAACGCAGAGTCTAGGCCGGTCAAGACGCCGGTCAAGATGGGATGAATACGGACATCCGAGGGGCTTAGGAAGCCGACGTTCAGCGCCTTTTCAGCCACCAAGCCTGAAGAGACGTGTGGTGTCCAAAAGGCGGTGGCGGTGACCGAGGGCATGAGCGAAGAGGGTTTTTCGGAGGAAGATGAAGAGGAAGAGGAGAAGGGACACGAAAGGAGCCGATGAGCCTGAAGAATTGACTGCCACCCCAAGAGAGGTTAAGTGACCGTAAATAGGACCCGCAACCTGGGGTACCCAACTGGGATAGTCTACAGGGTTCTTCAACCTCTGTTGGCCATGCAAACAATATGTGCCTTCCCCTTCCGCCTTCCACGCAGTGAAGGCGAAGGGTCAGACCCACCGTGGCAGGGTGGAAACGTCATGGCCAAAAGACATGAAAAGAAGCTCTGCCCATGTTGAGGTGATTTGAGCTGGTGCAATATGAAGACAAAGCTCCTTTTTCGATCTCCGCCATTATAGGTGCCTCCTCACTAGCTGCGCATAATGTATTTCTCAAGATACCCATCCACCCTCACCAAATTGACTCTAAAATATAATAACATATCAAAATGATTCCCAGCATCTGAAAAGAAGAAACCACCTCTTGTAAGTACCGTTTTAAACCTCTCCTCTTCGTTGTTTCTCTTCGCTTCATGATTCTTCCATTCTCCCCCCCTCCAAACGACCGAGCCGAGCACTCCAAGCGACGCAGGTCCGCCACCACCGAGCTGGCGCTCACGTTCACCCGGCAGCTGCGGCCACTGGGCAGGGAGACGTCCACCGCCAAATCGCCGGCGCTCCTGGGGCAGGTCGTGGGTCGCGGGAGACCCGCGAGAGACCCGGGCGGGCCCGGCACGTGGCCGGGTGAGGAGGCGCTGTGAAGAGTTTGGGATCCAGGAAAGTACCCAACCTCAGCTTCTATAGGTGAGGACGGGTCTCCCTCAGGTCAGGTGCCAGCCAGGCGGGTCCGTACCGAACCTGAGGATTCAGGTACAACCACGGCTCCCATTTAGGAGACGGGAAATTATTGATGAAATGCACCTGAAGAGTGGCAATGTGGGTAAATAGACTCTATAAAATTCTATAAATCATTCTAAACCCCATGGAGCGGAGATGAGCGGAGTGTTCTGGGGTAGAGGGAGAGAAGTCCGCCACATGGTGAAACACCACACACCGTTGTACATGATGTCTTCATGTGAGCTCCGCAGCTCGTTGCAAAGAAGTACGCCATGAATTCCGCGATGGGAAACCATGACCCTCTGCAACATGAACAAACTAAACCGAAACCATATATTGATTTGCCACCAATCATCCATTCACTGCAAAGAGCTCTCTCCATATTCATAATTCGTCATCGAGCGCTTGCGCACTGGAACCCAGAAGAACCCTGCTTGCGCTCAAGTTCTTTGTTTGCAGCCCAAGCTCTCCACGCAGCTGCTTTTTCGCTTCCGGCTCATGGCGATGAGGTGACCGGCAGCGAATTCACTCCGCTGGAAACGTTTTTTTTCCTCTGTGATGTCTATAATATAAGAGACCCGACCTTCGTGGCTTGGCTTCACTGGACCCATGCTGAGGTCTTCAAAATATCACCAAGAAGCTGCTGGTGTATCTTCCTTTCTTGATTCACTCCTGGGTCTTTCTGGACTCAAAGAAAGATCTTCTAAAGCTACACTCGTTCGCTGCGTTCGCAGCTGGAAGGTTCTGTGTCACCACCAGTGGTGCCGATGCATGTTCTCCACCACATCTTTAGGTTTGCGGTATTTTTCGACTACCTGTTCCTGTAGTGACTACCTGGTTGCGTGTTCTCCACGCTACCTGTTACTGTGCTGAGGCCAGTGATTTCAACTTTGGAATCTCTGGTGATAGATCACTTTCCAACTGTCCAGTTCGCGCTGATTCAAACAATGCTCAATGCCCAGCCCCCTAGTCTCTATTATATATAAATATATAAATATATGTTAAATTTCTGGGAGGTTCTGGGACAAGCTCAAGGGGCCAACTCCACTCGCTGCTTTTTGTGCTGTGCCCTACCCCTTTCCAAACCCCAAGGACCCTGGCTTCTCTTCTCCTCTAATTCACTGCTCAACCTGATCCATGGATCAAATGATGAACCCCATTGTCATCACTAGATCGGCCTGATCGATGGGCCAATCCCATTACACATTATGCAGGAAGAGCTGGACGAGTTCTCGGCTGGAACGGCACGCGGTCTCCCACCAGAAACCGATGAGGATCTCTGGTGAGGCCTCCATACCGATGCAGCGAGGTCAGCGAGGTATCATGAGTTCTCCACACCGTGAGGAGTCTTCATCGAACCCATCTCTTCTCCCCCCGAAGATGATGCGCCATGTTCGTACCTGGTCACCTAGTCCTGCAACTGAGGGGTTGAGCTCCCAGGTAATGTGCAGGGCATTGACCAAGCTTTGAAAAAAAAACAGCCCAGTTTCACTCCAAGAATCCAACGCTACTAGGTTGGAGGCCATCGCTATTACAAGGAACACCCCAATGGATCTGTTGGATCTCTACTCGTCATGGTTTCGACCTGGTCACGAGGCATAGGATGGTCCAAGCAAGGCTTGGGCTCTTGGCCTACCTCCGTTTCGGTGGGTGAGGTGGGTACCAGGGAGGTGCAGTCATACCTTCTCAGGAGCCGGGACCAGGAGCCCTAGGCATTCACATCTTTTTGTCCGGGACATGCTCTTGCTACCTCCGGCCCCAACTGGTGAAGCAACCTGAAAAGGGTCAAAACAACTGAGTTCCGGCACAGGTGGCTCCTGAAAGTTCCGGCTCTGCCTGGAAAGAATCCAAGACCCAGATTTGAGGCAAGACCCAGAATCACCTGGCTGAGTGGGACATGAGTTTCCATGGGTTTCCACTATCTACTCTGCGATGTGGTGTTCTCCCTCTACACTGCCTCTCCGGTGCGCAAACACACATGATTGGCAACCATTTTCCACTCAAACCCACTCAAACCCACTTCCCGTGAGAGTGAATTCTGGGGCTATTCTGGGCAAAAGGACCACCTTCGACCCACACAGATTCGGCCCAGCGAAAACCAGCTGGTAGTTGCCCGCGACTCTTGAGGACCATGAAACCCCCCCAATTGAATTGGACATCCTCTTCATATGGAGGGTTATTAGTCAAGAGTCTACAATAAAGTGTTTCAAGAGCATTGTATGACGGTCGCGGTTGTATTCGGAAACTGGACGGTTGTATTCGGAAACTCCACGGTTGTATTCGGAAACTCGGCGGTTGTATTCGGAAACTGGAACGGTTGTATTCGGAAACTGGGATTCGGAAACTGCGCGGTTGTATTCGGAAACTGGCATTCGGAAACTGAAGCGGTTGTATTCGGAAACTGGAAGGGTGGTATTCGGAAACTGCACGGTTGTATTTGGAAACTAGTATTCGGAAACTACACGGTTGTATTCGGAAACTGGTATTCGGAAACTGAGACGGTTGTATTCGGAAACTCCACGGTTGTATTCGGAAACTGACCGCTTGGATTCGGAAACTCGACGGTTGTATTCGGAAACTCGTATTCGGAAACTCGACGGCTGTATTCGGAAACTGCGGGACCGGAATCTCTCTCCAGTGTATCTCTTTGGCAATGCCAGGAAAACAGCTCTGAACGGATTTTCTCACAAGCGCCCCAACACCCCCCACACCCCACCCGCCCTCCATGGTACGCAACTATCCACATAAGCTTAATGCCCCTGCCCCACCCCCACCCCCCTCCCCCCCAACCCACAGGAAAGCATTGGTCCGCGCAACCATATACGAAACCTTACTGCCCCACCCCCCACCCCCCAACCCG